GTCAGGAAGAGAATTACTACGCTTAGCTGGTGTCTCTGTATATCGTATTCATAAAACAGCGCCTTGTCTGCCGCACTGGCAGCACCGAGAGCCCGCTCACTCGCGCCCACCCCTCTCCTCCCTCCCTCCCTCCCCTCCCTTCCCCCAAGGGTCAGGCGATCCAGTGGCCCTCAAACCTGACCGCCCTCCGCTGCGCCGGCCCACCAGCGCCACCCTGCCATGCTGCGGTACTTTCAAGACAGACTGTACACGATACGAATAACCTGAACCGATGTGCAATACTCGTATGTTACGTTTATATTTTTGTATGTCACTCGCGGCCGCCTCTAAGCTAAGTGTTGTGCATTAATGTTGGAGGTACGTAGGTAATAACTAATAGGTATAGGTATCTATAACGTACTACAATGTATTACATACTGTCTGATGCGTATAATGTGTATATCTCGTTTCATTCGGACATCTGCCTGTCTCTAATTGTACAACGGTGTATGTACAGTCACCAGCACTTACTACCCATCACCCCCGGACGGCGGGGGAGCAAGCTACCACCGCCCTTGCGAGACTAGCGCCGCCATGCGCCAAGAAGTGGAAACACCACGTGACTGAGGCCACGTGAGGGCAGGGTCACGTGATGGAGGGGCGGAGCATAGTAGCTTTTGCGCCCGGCACTAACTGAAATGCGGCGCTGTGATTGGGCGCTTTAGCATGAATGAAGCCCCGGCGCCAGAATCAGCCGTTCGCCTTATATGGAAGGTAAGCCTGTGCGTTTCACTGTTCTGTGTTGGTTTGAGAGCCACAGCACCATACGAATTGTGAGCCCCTGTTCCGGAGGATCCCGGATAATACTCTGGTGTTACTCTCGAAAGTAAAACAGCAGAAATAGCGTGTGCCTCCATGCGCGAGGAACTAAAAAAAATTGTGCTGAAATAGAGTGTTTTGGATGTCTAGAAAGAGGAAATACAGAAACTAGAGAAATGTGAAAACAGTTTGTGAATATAAAGTTAAGTTTAATTAAGCTATTAAGAAACAAGAACAAAACGCGAGAACACTATCATCAACATCTGGAGCCGTATTGACCCGGATTCGCCGGTGATTAAGAAATCTTTGAACGCCTTGTGCAAATTTAAAGAGTAAAGTAATGTGAAGTAACGTAGGTAATTGGTGTCTTGAATTGGCTTTGAGTAATGTAAGTATCTGTTAAGCATTAATTAAGTGTACTCTTTGACAAGATGGCAGGGAAGAAGAAAAGGAGAGCTGACAATACAGAAGCTGCCGATCAAGATAACTCGGAAAGTTCAGATAAATCAGATTCAACGATGCCTCTGAAAAGGGACATTAGCAAGACTATGCGTGAATTTCACCGAACACAAAGACGACTCACTTCACTTGTAGAGAGCGGTGAGATCACAACTGGAAACTCAACCGATGCCATCGAATCACTAGAGGATTTGATCGAGCATATGCATGGACTGACGGAATCACTTTGTGAAGAAGTAAGTGATCAAGGCGAAAAGGAAGAACTTTGGCAGGAACTGGAGCAGGTTGAGAAAGAATCGCGAGAAACCATTCGGTTGACCAATAAAGCCATTCGCGAGAAGATTAACCGGCAGCCTGCAAACGCACCAAGTTCAACTGATGCGAGCACGTGCGGAACCCAAGCAAACAAAGGAGTGAGAAGAACACAGATGGACTGGACCACCCATGGTCTAAGAAGTCCTCAACTGCCGGTGTTCTCTGGAGAGGGCTATGAAAATTGGAAGATAACATTCGACGCATTTGTGGGAGACGAGGACATCCCGGAAAAATTCAAGATGATACAGCTCAAAGCCTGTCTCGGCGGTGACCCGCTGAAGCTCGTCAGCCGATACAATCCCACGGCAGCCGGGTATACAAAGGCCAGAAGCGAGCTGGAGCGCAAATACGGCGGAACGGGAAGACGGATCAGACGTCAACTTGAAGAGATCCGAGCGATGAAGCCGGTACGAGCCGGAAACTGCAAAGACTTGGATGATCTTGCTGACTGCGTCCAGAACCTAGTGACCAATTTGGAAGACAGTGGATGTGTGGCGGATCTGACCGAAATGTCAGCATACTACATTTTGGTCAAGGAGAAGCTGCCGGCATCATATTTGAAAACCTACAAGCGGTGGCAACAGGATGGGAACAGGACGTACAGTTTGATTCTGTTCGCTGACTGGCTGGCAGATGAAGCTGTATGTGAGCGGGAGGCGCAGGAGATAAGCTTGGCCGGTCAGCAGAGACCTGAAGGCAGAAGCAAGGCGGAGACCGTACCGAAGAAGCCGAGAAGAGTTTTCAGCACGGAAACCGTCGGACAGCCTGAACGAAGAGCAACGTGTCTGTACTGCAACGAGCCGCACAGTCTGGATAACTGCCCGCACTTCACCCGGTGGACTGTCAGCAGTCGCTACCACTACTGCAAAACTAACAGGATATGTTTCCGCTGCCTGTCTGGCCATCATCTGGGGCGTAACTGCCGGCAGTTCAATGGCTGCTCGGTGAATTCATGTGAAGGCACGCACCACACACTGCTGCACGCTACAGCCAAGCCCGCGACTACTGGCCGTGAGGGAGCCATGGGAGGCCGGTCGGTACCTCACGAAGCTGAAGTAGCTGGTGCAGAATACGTCCCATCCACCCAGACACAGAGAAGTTCCAAGCAGTCGTTTCGCACAAAGAAGTCATCTGGAGACGCTCAATCGAACCCCTATCGAGTGGCGTTTCAGACGGTGCCAGTGAAGCTCTCTGCGAATGGGAGATCAGTCATTGTGAGTGCACTTCTGGACCCGTGTTCTGATGCCAGCTACCTGACGGAGGCCGCTGCGAATGAGCTACAGCTGCAGGGAGAAGATGAAGATGTGGACCTGGAGACGGTGAACGGAAGCTCACAAGTGAGGATGAAGAAAACTCAGGTTCAACTCAGCTCAGTGGATGAAGGCTACAAGGCCAAGCTCAGCGCATTCGTCATCAAAGATCTGTCCAGCGCATCAACAAAAATCGACTGGAACCTGATGAAAGATCGCTGGGATCATATGAAGAAGATCCCGTTCCCGACCGTATCCAGGAAAGGCGGCATTGATATGCTTATCGGCCTGACGGGCGACACCATGTCCCTGTTTCTACCTGAGGAAACCATCCAGGGGCCTCCCGGTGATCCAGTGGCGGTGAAAACCCCACTGGGCTGGACCGCCTTCGGGCCGGTCAGTGGAGCCGAAATGGAAAGCATCAAGACCCTGAGAACCCATATCCGAAGCAAGCTGAAAGTGGAAAATGTGGGACCGATTCCCTTCTTCCATATCATGATAAAGAGAGTACACGTTCAAGCTTTGTTACATAGAAATAGCCGTCACTTTCCCCCACGTGTCGGCACCGTCCACCGACCCGGCGGGTCGGCGGACCGGTCCTTCATTGTGCAACCACCTTGCATATAACGCAGACGCACTGGCGAATCAGAATCAGAACCACAGTTGCAATACAAGTCTCGGCCCGCTCAGTCTTCTCTCCTTCCGCGCCTCCGCGACAATTACCCCGTTTACATGAGTCAGCGAAAATGACGTTTAGAACGGATATTTCCGTTTAGCGAAAAGTGCGCAAGTTTCGACTCATGTAAACTGGTTTGGGCGCGCAAAAATGACGATTACGCGGAACGGAAATATCCGATGAATTAATGGGAAATATCCGTTTAGGACGTCAGGCCTAAACGGATTTTTTGCGCATCTAGCAGAAAATGACATGAATATGCATGTTTTATAGATGAAATTTTTTAGTTTACACATCAAAATACATGTTTATGTTGAATGGTAGGTCTAATGACAATGAAATCCACTTTTTGCCCCTGATTTCGCGCCATTGTGGCAGATTCATGAAGTACCTACATAAGTGTTGAGAGGAACGTCCTATGCTTCAAAACGGAAGCATTCTAGTTGAGGGGTAATTTCCTTATTTCTTAGATTCAACAATCAGGGTTCAATTCCAGGGCAACCAACATAGCCTTCCCAGCCAGTCGCTCCCTATAGCCACTTGGAACAGCATGGTAGTGCCATTTAGTGCTTAGTACACTGGATATGATGCTTGATTTATTTTGCTTTAGTACATGCTCCCAAAAATGTTCTCTACCTAGGTACTGCAAACTTCCTAGCAGTGATTCAGATAACTTATGCTTCAGCGAACAGCCACCAGACGGCAGGGCACGCAGGCTGGTTGAGACAGGAACTTGGCTGCATGCCAAAATATACACAAGACACACAGCCAAATTTACTCAGTGACATTGCCATCTGCCCCCCCCCCCCCCCACCAATATTTAAATGTTCTTAGATAATTGTTCCAAAGAAGTAGATTCTTCAGTGGTGGGAAGGCCTCTGAAAGTTTGGTTAATCTCGGGTGGTGGAAGCAGGTAGGTACCTGGCAAGTTTTGTGGAATTTGTAGAATCATACCTAACCTTACCTACCAACCTAACTTTCAACCTACCATCCTTCAAACACACCTACATGCCTACAACCTATCATACCAAACTACTTCCTACCAATCTACAAGGTCAACCAACCTACCAAACCACATAGGTACCACTCGGACTTCATCTTCACATCTTACCTGGTGTGATTGAGAGTGGATTATTCTATGCATTTTGAAAATTGCACTGATAGTGTCTCAAAGTTTGGTGGTGAGTAGATGTAACTTCTGATATGAATAAAACACATGGAACTGATGGATCCTGTGTTGCACTCGACAGTCAAGCAATGCAATGCACAGCACAGGTCACATCTACTACACAATTCACCTAGTACTGATCTGACCCCTGTCTTTGAAGAACTGAGCAGCTAAAAGCAAAACATGAAAATAAAGTGCTGGAATATTCAAGTGCTTCAAATGTGTTAACCAAAATGTATGCACAATCCCGCACCACCCACTTTCATACCAATGTTTTCTGAAGTGTGGCACCATCCTGCACATCCTTTCATGCATTTTCATTTTGTCAACTTACTGGAGGTCAATCATGATGATCTATGACTATTATGAGCTGTCTTAGCCTTTTTCTGAAACCAAAAAGACTTTCAATATAGATGTGCGCTTCAATGTTGTCCAAGACCTCAATTGTTTTCTTGCTTTCTGACAGTTAATCACGCTTCTTTTACAGCACACAAGTAAAATAATGGCTTGTGCCATGATTATTTCTAATTCTACATACAAAACTTAAAAGAATCAAGTAAATTAAGCCTAAAACAAGCACAAATAATGCTTGATAGGAGCTGCGCCAGACATGTAAAAATGCGCAAAATATCCGTATTTTTCGGATGTGCGTGAAGTTGGCGTCGGATTCGGATTCGTATTCAGCGTCGAGTACCGAATCACTTGAAAACGTCATATCTGGTCAATTCGGGGACGGGGAGCACGAATATGACATTAATTTTGCCCTAGCAGGTATCCCTTATCCCTTAATCGTCCCTTAAACGACGGGGCGCGCCAAAAGTGCCTCAGGGGCTCTTCCGATCACGAAAATAATGGTCCCAGGCGATTCCCCGGGTCGATATCTAGCCGCACCACCACTAACTTCACACGTGCCTCATATCCCTTATCCCTTAATCGTCCCTTAAATGACGGGGCGCGCCAAAAGTGCCTCAGGGGTTCTTCCGATCGCGAAAATAATGGTCCCAGGCAATTCCCCGGGTCGATATCTAGCCGCACCACCACTAACTTCACACGTGCCTCACATCCCTCATCCCTTAATCGTCCCTTAAACGACGGGGCGCGCCAAAAGTGCCTCAGGGGTTCTTCCGATCGCGAAAATAATGGTCCCAGGCGATTCCCCGGGTCGATATCTAGCCGCACCACCACTAACTTCACACGTGCCTCATATCCCTTATCCCTTAATCGTCCCTTAAATGACGGGGCGCGCCAAAAGTGCCTCAGGGGTTCTTCTGATCGCGAAAATAATGGTCCCAGGCGATTCCCCGGGTCGATATCTAGCCGCACCACCACTAACTTCACACGTGCCTCATATCCCTTATCCCTTAATCGTCCCTTAAATGACGGGGCGCGCCAAAAGTGCCTCAGGGGTTCTTCTGATCGCGAAAATAATGGTCCTGGTCCCAGGCGATTCCCCGGGTCGATATCTAGCCGCACCACCACTAACTTCACACGTGCCTCATATCCCTTATCCCTTAATCGTCCCTTAAATGACGGGGCGCGCCAAAAGTGCCTCAGGGGTTCTTCTGATCGCGAAAATAATGGTCCCAGGCGATTCCCCGGGTCGATATCTAGCCGCACCACCACTAACTTCACACGTGCCTCATATCCCTTATCCCTTAATCGTCCCTTAAATGACGGGGCGCGCCAAAAGTGCCTCAGGGGTTCTTCTGATCGCGAAAATAATGGTCCCAGGCGATTCCCCGGGTCGATATCTAGCCGCACCACCACTAACTTCACACGTGCCTCATATCCCTTATCCCTTAATCGTCCCTTAAATGACGGGGCGCGCCAAAAGTAAATGACGGGGCGCGCCAAAAGTGCCTCAGGGGTTCTTCCGATCGCGAAAATAATGGTCCCAGGCGATTCCCCGGGTCGATATCTAGCCGCACCACCACTAACTTCACACGTGCCTCACATCCCTCATCCCTTAATCGTCCCTTAAACGACGGGGCGCGCCAAAAGTGCCTCAGGGGTTCTTCTGATCGCGAAAAGAATGGTCCCAGGCGATTCCCCGGGTCGATATCTAGCCGCACCACCACTAACTTCACACGTGCCTCATATCCCTTATCCCTTAATCGTCCCTTAAATGACGGGGCGCGCCAAAAGTGCCTCAGGGGTTCTTCCGATCGCGAAAAGAATGGTCCCAGGCGATTCCCCGGGTCGATATCTAGCCGCACCACCACTAACTTCACACGTGCCTCATATCCCTTATCCCTTAATCGTCCCTTAAATGACGGGGCGCGCCAAAAGTGCCTCAAGGGTTCTTCCGATCGCGAAAAGAATGGTCCCAGGCGATTCCCCGGGTCGATATCTAGCCGCACCACCACTAACTTCACACGTGCCTCATATCCCTTATCCCTTAATCGTCCCTTAAATGACGGGGCGCGCCAAAAGTGCCTCAGGGGTTCTTCCGATCGCGAAAAGAATGGTCCCAGGCGATTCCCCGGGTCGATATCTAGCCGCACCACCACTAACTTCACACGTGCCTCATATCCCTTATCCCTTAATCGTCCCTTAAATGACGGGGCGCGCCAAAAGTGCCTCAGGGGTTCTTCCGATCGCGAAAAGAATGGTCCCAGGCGATTCCCCGGGTCGATATCTAGCCGCACCACCACTAACTTCACACGTGCCTCATATCCCTTATCCCTTAATCGTCCCTTAAATGACGGGGCGCGCCAAAAGTGCCTCAGGGGCTCTTCCGATCGCGAAAATAATGGTCCCAGGCGATTCCCCGGGTCGATATCTAGCCGCACCACCACTAACTTCACACGTGCCTCATATCCCTTATCCCTTAATCGTCCCTTAAATGACAGGGCGCGCCAAAAGTGCCTCAGGGGTTCTTCCGATCGCGAAAAGAATGGTCCCAGGCGATTCCCCGGGTCGATATCTAGCCGCACCACCACTAACTTCACACGTGCCTCATATCCCTTATCCCTTAATCGTCCCTTAAATGACGGGGCGCGCCAAAAGTGCCTCAGGGGCTCTTCCGATCGCGAAAATAATGGTCCCAGGCGATTCCCCGGGTCGATATCTAGCCGCACCACCACTAACTTCACACGTGCCTCATATCCCTTATCCCTTAATCGTCCCTTAAATGACGGGGCGCGCCAAAAGTGCCTCAGGGGCTCTTCCGATCGCGAAAATAATGGTCCCAGGCGATTCCCCGGGTCGATATCTTGCCGCACCACCACTAACTTCACACGTGCCTCATATCCCTTATCCCTTAATCGTCCTTATCCCTTAATCACGTGTGAAGTTAGTGGTGGTGCGGCTAGATATCGACCCGGGGAATCGCCTGGGACCATTATTTTCGCGATCAGAAGAACCCCTGAGACACTTTTGGCGCGCCCCGTCGTTTAAGGGACGATTAAGGGATGAGGGATGTGAGGCACGTGTGAAGTTAGTGGTGGTGCGGCTAGATATCGACCCGGGGAATTGCCTGGGACCATTATTTTCGCGATCGGAAGAACCCCTGAGGCACTTTTGGCGCGCCCCGTCATTTAAGGGACGATTAAGGGATAAGGGATATGAGGCACGTGTGAAGTTAGTGGTGGTGCGGCAAGATATCGACCCGGGGAATCGCCTGGGACCATTATTTTCGCGATCGGAAGAGCCCCTGAGGCACTTTTGGCGCGCCCCGTCATTTAAGGGACGATTAAGGGATAAGGGATATGAGGCACGTGTGAAGTTAGTGGTGGTGCGGCTAGATATCGACCCGGGGAATCGCCTGGGACCATTCTTTTCGCGATCGGAAGAACCCCTGAGGCACTTTTGGCGCGCCCCGTCGTTTAAGGGACGATTAAGGGATGAGGGATGTGAGGCACGTGTGAAGTTAGTGGTGGTGCGGCTAGATATCGACCCGGGGAATTGCCTGGGACCATTATTTTCGCGATCGGAAGAACCCCTGAGGCACTTTTGGCGCGCCCCGTCATTTAAGGGACGATTAAGGGATAAGGGATATGAGGCACGTGTGAAGTTAGTGGTGGTGCGGCAAGATATCGACCCGGGGAATCGCCTGGGACCATTATTTTCGCGATCGGAAGAGCCCCTGAGGCACTTTTGGCGCGCCCCGTCATTTAAGGGACGATTAAGGGATAAGGGATATGAGGCACGTGTGAAGTTAGTGGTGGTGCGGCTAGATATCGACCCGGGGAATCGCCTGGGACCATTCTTTTCGCGATCGGAAGAACCCCTGAGGCACTTTTGGCGCGCCCCGTCGTTTAAGGGACGATTAAGGGATGAGGGATATGAGGCACGTGTGAAGTTAGTGGTGGTGCGGCTAGATATCGACCCGGGGAATCGCCTGGGACCATTCTTTTCGCGATCAGAAGAACCCCTGAGGCACTTTTGGCGCGCCCCGTCGTTTAAGGGACGATTAAGGGATGAGGGATGTGAGGCACGTGTGAAGTTAGTGGTGGTGCGGCTAGATATCGACCCGGGGAATCGCCTGGGACCATTCTTTTCGCGATCGGAAGAACCCCTGAGGCACTTTTGGCGCGCCCCGTCATTTACTTTTGGCGCGCCCCGTCATTTAAGGGACGATTAAGGGATAAGGGATATGAGGCACGTGTGAAGTTAGTGGTGGTGCGGCTAGATATCGACCCGGGGAATCGCCTGGGACCATTATTTTCGCGATCAGAAGAACCCCTGAGGCACTTTTGGCGCGCCCCGTCATTTAAGGGACGATTAAGGGATAAGGGATATGAGGCACGTGTGAAGTTAGTGGTGGTGCGGCTAGATATCGACCCGGGGAATCGCCTGGGACCATTCTTTTCGCGATCGGAAGAACCCCTGAGGCACTTTTGGCGCGCCCCGTCGTTTAAGGGACGATTAAGGGATGAGGGATATGAGGCACGTGTGAAGTTAGTGGTGGTGCGGCTAGATATCGACCCGGGGAATCGCCTGGGACCATTATTTTCGCGATCAGAAGAACCCCTGAGGCACTTTTGGCGCGCCCCGTCGTTTAAGGGACGATTAAGGGATGAGGGATGTGAGGCACGTGTGAAGTTAGTGGTGGTGCGGCTAGATATCGACCCGGGGAATCGCCTGGGACCATTCTTTTCGCGATCGGAAGAACCCCTGAGGCACTTTTGGCGCGCCCCGTCATTTACTTTTGGCGCGCCCCGTCATTTAAGGGACGATTAAGGGATAAGGGATATGAGGCACGTGTGAAGTTAGTGGTGGTGCGGCTAGATATCGACCCGGGGAATCGCCTGGGACCATTATTTTCGCGATCAGAAGAACCCCTGAGGCACTTTTGGCGCGCCCCGTCATTTAAGGGACGATTAAGGGATAAGGGATATGAGGCACGTGTGAAGTTAGTGGTGGTGCGGCTAGATATCGACCCGGGGAATCGCCTGGGACCATTCTTTTCGCGATCGGAAGAACCCCTGAGGCACTTTTGGCGCGCCCCGTCGTTTAAGGGACGATTAAGGGATGAGGGATATGAGGCACGTGTGAAATTAGTGGTGGTGCGGCTAGATATCGACCCGGGGAATCGCCTGGGACCATTATTTTCGCGATCAGAAGAACCCCTGAGGCACTTTTGGCGCGCCC